CTCATCAGACAGATGCTGTAACCCAGCTCGCCTGCTAATGCAGTTGAAATAGGCTAGATTTAAGGGTAGCGCTAGGGCAGGGGTGTCCGAACTCAGTCCTGGAGGGCCACTGTCCTGCAGAGTTTAGCTCCAACATGCCTCAACACACCTGCCTGGAAGCTTCTAGTATGCAAGACCTTGATTAACTGATTCAGGTGTGTTTAATTGGGGTTGGAGTTCAATTCTGCAGGACACTGGCCCTCCAAAAAAAAAAGGTTTGGACACCCCTAGGGGATAGAAAATACAGTTTGTCCAGTATATTTTGGTAATGACAGTGTGGGTACCTGCAAAACAACACGAAAGTACCCCCATGTGCTCAGTGTGACCCAGTTTTTCCCTTGTTTGATTTGATTAGTTCGTTCACCTTGATTATCTTCCTCACCTGTCTGGCCCTCGTCGTTAGCAACCCTATTTTATTTGCCCTGTTTGCCTTGGTCCAGTATTGTATTTGTGTTGCTGTGCTACGTGTATCTCCTGCCTTGTATTACCGTTTGGAAGTATTAAAGATTATTGAACTATATCTTGGTCTTCGTGCGGGTTTTATAGACCACCGTGACAATTACATCTAGGGAATGTCCCCTTAAAACATGGAAACCAGTGTATGTGTGTGTGAGTATTTGTCAAAAGGTAATATATTATTTCATTAGTCATTCATTTGCTGCATAATTCCATTTGCTTAACTTCTATCAGTTGCGTTCCGATATTTATCTGTTATAGTGATAAATAATACATTTTCACAATTCCCCTTCCACTAATACGGAGCAATAACAAAACAAAAAAAAGGAGACTTCGGATTCATTAAAAAGTTTAATTGATTTTTAAGATCATATAATACATTAATATATATATATATATCAGAATAATGAAATACAATTCACACCAATTTAATGGCAAGAGATATACAAAACTGTGGGGGGAAAAAAGTATTTTTCACAGTGTTATGCAGGGTCCTATAAACTGCATATCCCAAAGCACAATAGAAATATATCCAGACAGAGGTAAAATAGTTGACACATTCACATGATTCACACTAGCTGATCATTTTCATATATGTACACAGGCAGCTTATATCTTGCTGAAATGGTGGTATTCTTTAGCTATTGTTCAGAAGATGTCTTCTGTCTCTCCACAAAGTGAAGGTTCACCTGTCTGTCTGGCACAAGCACTGCACGAGTGAGTGACCTAACCTCACCCACAGTTGGATCCGGTCGGATTTCAAACAACTTGATTAGCTGGAATGAAAATATACAATTAGAAAGCACAATTTATAATGTAATATAACTGTTTGGCACAAATTCAAAATTAAACATCTGTCTTTCTTACCCTTGCCAAAGCCAGATGCATCTCCAGTTCAGCAATGCGACGGCCAACACAGCCTCTGACTCCATAGCCAAACGGGATTGACCCAAATGGGTTGGGTCTCGTTCTGCCATCTCTGAGCCAGCGGTCAGGTTTGAACTTCTGTGGCTCTGGGAAGACTTTCTTATCATGGCTAATCGCATAGTGGCACAGAGTGAATGTTGTCTGTTTAAAAACAGCTGATTTAGTGATGCAAATTTCTGAACTGGCAACCATTTTTTCATTCTAACAACATGGAAATGGTTTACCTTTTTAGGGAAAAAATGTCCACCAATGACAACATCATTTTCTGCAATAAGACGAGAATTCATGGGCACCACAGGGTACATCCTGCACATGAAATTACAGAGATTATAATACTCAATGATACACCACTGGTCAAAATTCTTGAATAATTCATGTTTCTGGACGAAGTCTCTTATATACACAGTACACACACATAAAAAAATTATATTCAAATATATTTTAAAATGTAGTTTATTTCTGTGCCTGCAAAGCTAAATTTTTAGCAGTCATTTGACACCTCTAGACTTCAGTGTCACAAGATCCTTCAGAAATCATTCTAATATGCTGCTGTGGTGTTTAATTATTATCAGTTAATATCAATTAATAATAATGGTTCTAATTATCAATAGTTTTTAAGGCTTAATATTTTTGTGGAACCCATAATACATTTTCGCATTATTCTTTGTGTCATGAACCTAGTCTCTGTGATTCTTATTATCAATAGTTTTTAAGGCTTAATATTTTTGTGGAACTCATAATACATTTTCCTCATAATTCTTTGTGTCTTGAACCTAGTCTCCATGGTTCCTCCCACTCACCACCAGAGGGCTTCCTCACCTGAGTATTGACCTTTTTCTTGTCCTGGACTCCATTTCCCATGATCCCCATACATTCCCCGGACTATTCAAACAGCTCACTTACATCCACACCTTGAAAAGTTATGTTTTCACCTGGCTGACATTTCTGAGTATTCCATTGTTTCCTATTGCCTTGCCTGTGTATGACTCTCAACTGTTACCTTGTTTCTGACCCTTGCTGCCTGTCTACTCATCTCTGCCTCAATTGTTTAGATACTGTTTATGATTGTTTGCTGCCTGCCCTGACCCTCTATTTTATCTTGCTCACCCCAAATTTTTAAATGGTAGTGTATTACAGTTTCCACAGAAACATTAGGCTGCACAGCTGTTTTCAATATTGATAACAATAATAAATGTTTCTTGAGCACCAAATCAGTATATGATTGTGATTTCTGAAGTATCATGTGACACTGAAGAAGACTGGCGTAATGGCTGCTGAAAATTCAGCTTCGCTATTAAAGGAATAAATTATATATTAAAATATATTCAACTAGAACAAGTTATTTTTAAATTAGAGTACTATTTCACAATATTTATATTTTTACTGTATTAATAATCAAATAAATGCAGCTTTGGTGAGCATTAGACTTCTTTTAAAAGACTTTTTACTTATTCCAAACATTTGACCAGTAGTGTATAGTATATGCCATAATAAGCATTATTTACCTTAATGTTTCCTTGATGACAGCTTTGAGGTAAGGCATGCTGTTCACTTCCTGTGCTGTTGGGATTCCGTCACCCTTCAAGACTCTGGTTACATCCTGATACAGAGCCTCTTGAGCTTCTGGGTCTCTTGAGAGGAGATACAGCGCCCACAACATAGTGTTGGAGGTCTAGAACATGAAGAGGAAAAAATATTTCAAAACTCATATGTATTTTGTTTAAATAGTCAAAGATACATTAAATGTCTATTACTGTGTCCACTCCAGCCAACAGCAGCTCAGAAATATTTCCATAAACGTCTTT